CGTACGAAGCAACAATAGCTTCGTGTTGTGTAAGGTGGGGTAGGATGTGGCTTGTACGTTGTGTGTCTGGTTGAGAGTATACGGTTGGCAACTTCCATACCAATTCAAATATGAAATCAACTGGCATCCCGTGTGAACCGCGACCATGCATACGTACATGCAGGGGTGGCGCTCCGCTGACACCATCCCCACATGTATAAGGAACACACATGTACCTCACTCCGGCAGCTGAAAATGAGCTCAATCTTGGGTTTGGCGGTCGGTGTGCGATCTCACTGACCCCGGTGCGTAAATGGATGTAAATCGGGCCGTTCTCGTATTTTTTTGAGCAACCCCGTGCCATCTCCCCGACCGGTGCCACCTCTCAGACCGGTCCTATCTCTCCGACTATTACGGTATATATATATTAAAGCTATGTTGTTTTCTTTCCGCGTTCACCCCTTCTAAACCAAAGCCTAACAAGCAGGCTATCGGCGAGACTATGTCGGCTCCTCTCTCCCCTCCTGCAACTCCCCCTTCAACCAACTTCCCCTTCAACCTACATGAAGTAAGTCTACAAGTAAGTATGCTTAAACAACGTGGCGACGACTCGCTCAAACCTGGTGTATAATACACTCGTATAATATCTCCTCAATATACCCTGCGCAAAAACTTTGGGGTTTTCTCGATAGTTTCGACATGGGAAGGTGTTGAATCTAGTATCTGCCATTTGCAACCTACATGGGAGCAGATCATCTGCGATGTTGCCTGTAAATGCAGCAGCCTACCCGCCTGGACCGTACCGTAGGTGACACTAGATACCATACCCTGGACCGATTTTCAAACATCACTTACTCCACGAAGAGAATGCGTGCATGAAACGACTGTTTCAGAAGGCTCTTGACAGAGCGGCTTCAACGCCGCCGTTTCCGGCGCTACCACGCTTCTGCTGTGAAAGAATGGAGCTTGGAAAATCGGTCGAGGGTGTGTGATATCTTGTGTCATACCTTGTTTATAGGTCTAGCCTGAGCCGGAAATGGGTAGGACTTCGACGCCTTATAGGGTGGCTGGGGGGGATTGGGGGAAACATGCTTCTTCAGACGTCGTATGGGTTGTTGTGCAGTGTTGTGCCTGGTTGGACGTTGGCAAGCTATCAATCTGGAAGCAGATGGCAGCGGCAGATCTGGATGCTGATGCGCCTACCTCTAGCGTTGCGGGGCAATCGGTTGTTTCTTTCGTGTACAGCACAGAAAGCGGTTCCGGTCATCTCGAAGCTGTGCAAAGTAGGCCTAGACCTACAGCACCTAGACTCAGCTAGATATTCCACTCGCTCTTCGTACAGCAGCAGTACATGCCCTACCGAACGGCCGGCAGCCCGGTAGCGCGCACATACAAATCGGTGCCCCCGACAACAGTCTACATTGTAGACTAATTGATTGTGCTTTCGGCGGTCCTGACATGTTTTTCTAGCAGCATTCTTCTCCTCCCCTACACACCATGAGTCCCCTGTGCGCGCAGGAACATACTCCACAGAACATACGAGCAGGCGGGCTCTGCAAGCCTGCACAGCTCGGGCTTCAGTATGCAAGCTAGCAGAGCTGAGCTAGCCGAGTACCACCTCCAAACCGTCAAGAACCGCGTGCGCGCGCGCCCAAAAAGCACGGCATGCTTTCCGAACCTTCCGGAAACCCTACCCCCGAACCCCCTAAAGATCCTTTCGCACGATTGGTAATCCGACCTCGAGGCTCGAATGGGTAGTCTTTCTGTGTGTGTATATATTATTCCTTAATTTATGCGGCGTAATTTTTGTGTAACCGTTTTTTTTTCAGAGTACGTAGTATCGAACATACGTTGTATATCTCGAATGGGTAGTCTTTCTGTGTGTGTTTTTATTATTCCTTAATACGTTGTCTATGATAGTTTTTGATTGGACCGACACGCGAAGATCGTGCCCGTGATCGGGGAAGACAGACTTCATCCAAGGCATGTAGGTGAAAAAAAGTCTTCCACCCATCGCACTTATAACCAACACATGTGTTGTTTCGCGCAAGATGTGTGAGGCTCTATAAACTGCTGTAGAACGACCCGTAGGAAAATATGCCAGCGAAGTATCGTAGCAAGTTCATGCTTGGTGCGGGCTCTGCGCCGCTGCAGATGCGCTCGCTCGTTGTTCTGCTCGCAATCGCGACACGATTTGGCTTAGGAACAGGCACATCTGACATCGACCAGGATGTGGTTCTGCGACGCAGACTAGGTGCTGGGAGAGGAATCATCCATCAGAAGAACAATGCGCCCAAGACGAGAAATCCAGGGGCAGCAAACACCCGCACAGAGAGGAGGACGGAGAGCAACGATACATCTGCAGTTCACAGGTTTGTGTGTGTTCTGTGAGATGTGTTCATCAAGAATCTCCTGGCCGCCTGGGATGTATTCGTTTTACGTTTCCTCCTCTAACCAATATATTGTTCCAGGTAAACTGCTGTGCGCTGGAAAAAGAGAAGGAAGGACAATCGTTATCTACTTTGAGTAGAGAGGGAGTTGTATCTGCGAAGGTTCCTCCAACATGCCTTGGGCGCTCGTCACGACAACAATAACCAATACGGTACCTCCAACTACATACTGCTCTATACTTCCAAGTACAACAACACTCCGTGTCGTATTTGCAAAGAAAGGCCATGATAGATACCAATGCATGCTTTTTCTGTTGGAGGGCTACTGTAGATCGGCTATTGGGGACACATTTTGTGCCCATCTTCTTCACCTGCTTTTCCTCACGAAGAGGAGCATGGTCGCCTCCTCCCTTGACAAGGGGGTGCCGGGGTACACGGGGACAACTCCATTGAAACGCTTCAAGCACCTTAGACCTGTTTACAATAAATATACTTGACGTCAGACATTCAAATCGACTGGGGCGACGAGTAGGATATGAGACGGAAGAGCTGCGCTGAAGTTCGCGCCCCCACACACTCACGTAAGCGCTGATTTGCGGTCACTGTGGGCTTGAATCTGGAACTTAAGTTAGTTCACGAGTGACGTCTGTCGAAGCTCAAACTTCCGTAGAAGCTAGTGGAAGTCGACTAGATTACATGGAAGTCGTTGGTGAGCTTCCAGGGAGAGAAGTCAAGTTGAACAAGTTCCACGGAAATCGCCCGCCTTCGGGTAGCTTCCATGGAAGTAGAAAGTTTCGACTTCCATGGAAGCTTTGTGGCCTAAACTTACGGATTTTTTTCACCCGAGGTCATCTCCTTTGGAAGAAGTCAATATGATCTACTTCCATGTAAGGAAGTCCTACTCACAGGGACTTCCTTCGATGGAGCCCGTATTCTACTATTATCGCCCGAGCCCAGCGTCCATGGAAGCCATCGCGAAGGACTTTCGTGAAAGCTTGAGAAACCTCCATGACTGCTATCGTCCACGAGGATGCCCGCTTCGATGGAAGACATCCTGAAAGACGAAGAGGACGTCACACCGAACCTACTCTTGTGTGCCCACGGTTTGAATAAAGTCGCACAGCCTTCTGTCATATGCTGATACGCCTCCAAATATTTGCGTGTGTTCAACCAGAGCTACCTGTCACATGCACGTTGGCACGCTTTCTTACGAAGTTGCAAGACATCTCTGGCAAACCACTTCCTCCGTAGAAGTTGATTCCGTGGACTTTGGCGTGCTTCCGTGGAAGTTGTGTTTCACGGTCGACAAACACTTCGTAGAAGGTGCTTTATGGAAGTTGTCCTGCCTCCATGCGAGCTGTCGTGCTCCCATGGCAGTTGACAAACATCACCGTCAAACGCTTCCACAGAAGAAGCGCTTGCGTATGTTTATCGAAGTTGTCGAGCTTCCAATGAAAGTTGCCTTTCAGCCCTGACAACCGCTTCCTTCCGTGGAGGTTGCTCTCACAGAAGTTGCCGTGCTTTAATGAAGAAAATACCTTCGATTTTCGCGGAGGGGTTCGACGGACGAACTGTCATCGATTTCGAAATCTATGAAAGCTCGCTTCGCGACTTCGTGGAAGCTATAATATGCGAATTCCCCGAAAGAAACCACCCGCTTCTTCCATGGAAACGAGTGTCGGAATCTGACACGCAGCTTCCATTCAGGATACTCTTCCTTCCATGAACGGGTGAGAAGAATCCAATGGACTACATGAAGCATTGGAACGATGTCCTTGGAAGCTTAGACTATACCATCTTGGCGAATAATGTAGGTTACCTGCTGTTTTTCTCTCCTCTCTGAGAGAAACAACAAGTTTGGACCGAATATTGGAATCTCAGGGTCCGCTGGCAGCAACCGCACCAAAGCCGATGTGATGATCGATTGATCATGTACATACGCGCACTCTTGTACTTCAGGGAAAAACGGAAGATTTTTTGTTCGCGTTGTACATTTAGAACGTGGTGCTGACTGAGCATCAGCGACGGGCACGACAGTTAATCATGCGAACACTACAACGACCGGTGACCGGCAGGACCACCCTCAGCCATCCGTCTACGGTAGCAATCCACCCCGCCGCTACCCGCAAAAAAACGACAGCTTCAGACCGGCTGACGATACTCGTCTCGTTGGCATATCACAAAAACAGATGTTGAGCTTGCAAAGGTTTTCTCACTAACCTCTGCACAGAGTGACAAGAACGCTCACCAGAAGCCCATAGGTTCGAGGGATTGCTGGCTCTTCTTCATGTCGCTCTCAAGGATCTGCGTGCAATGGTGACATTTGCTCGTTGTCCCGGCCTCGTCGACAGCACCCAGGGCAAGCACATGGGGACGGCCACAGAAAAGCAAGGTGGTGGCAGTGGTGGTGCAGCATCCGGCGCCCGTACTGCTAAAGCAGTCGGTGATGGGGCACAACAAGACGAAGCAAACTCGATAGTTGCAAGGGACAGGAGGTTCCTTCTGAAACCAGGTACAATTTCGTCAAACCGTACTCAAGGCCCCTTGCTCCGTCCAGCGTGTCTGTGCTGGGTGGCAGAACAGGGTTAACTTACACATCTGAGCACCGCCATAAATTTGGCAAAGAAATGCGACTTGGCTAACCCTTCGCACGATTTCACCAGGACTACCTGCTCGCTCGAAGCGGGAATTCGAGAAGGGTCTCAATGCACGCTTGTAACTCACGCAGAATGCTTAATAATGTCGCCAGTTAACCTCTACCCTTGATGGTGTGCCACGCAGGTCGTAAGATAGCGGCGGTGTTTGCTTGAATACTCGGTAGACGTTGGTAGATGGCATCGTGCAAAACTCATCGGGTAGGCAGTCGATGCGGGTAGGCAGTCGCTGCCTAGCTTTACTGAAGTCGCGCGAGCGCGGCATGTCCTACGCAGTCCAGACATTCACAGGTCCTACGTGGTGTTTTTCTATTTCTGATGCATTTACTTTGCTGAGTACAGTAGTCTTCCATTGGCATCAATCGACCTGCAACGCAATGTATTGAGTTTCTGGGTGGACCTGGTACGGTATGTTGTTTCACTTTGCCACTCGGATTTCCACAGAGAATTGGCAGCACGAGGGACACGGAATTTCGATCACGGCGAAGGGAGGTGCGATCCAGTATTTTATATGAGAACGCTTCCGACTACCGGTGTGCTGCTGCAAGCGGATTGGTGGGGCTGTTGCACGCGAGCTCGCGCGCTGAAGGAGCGTAGACGGATGAGCATATATTCAATTTTCAGAATAACTGCGGTGTCTATAAACAATTAGATGTCACCCTGATTTTTTTGGTAACCCGAGGATTGCCTCGATGTTTTAGGACGTTTGATACACGGTAGACATTTCATCTTGTCCGTCCGTCCACCCCTTTGCCCAACATGGTGGACATATACACACGCCGACAAGCTGGTCAACCATGTTTGCTTTGCCTCCGAAGAGTCGATCCTGTTGGCGCCGCCCACGTTGCTAATATGTGTCTGTTCCGCATCGTTTTCCGTTTTTTGTTGTGCTGTCTTTCCGTGCAACGTCCTAAGCCCCCAAAATGCCGGTCGTCTGACACGGTTCGCTTTCCTGCCCGTCCACTGCGTCTTGAAACTCCCCTTCCTCAGAACCAAAAAGCGGGACAACGTGGCTTGGCAGACTGATGCCACAGCTGGCACTAGAGTTGTGCGGAAGCTCGACGAACACCTGGTATGTCAGCTACAGCAAGCACGGCTCTATGCTATTACATGTATTTAGTGTGAGTACAGGGTCTGAGGTGTAGGCCAGCCAGACGTGCGCGTCGATAGAATACCTAGGATCGCTTCATCCAAAGTAGACCAACCAAGGTACTCGGAGGAACTGGGAGAGGAATCTGCGGGAAATTACATAATTTCATCAATAATATAGGCCGTTTTCATGTTTCTCCTGGGGCCTCGGTGTTGTTCGCCTCGTGCCCTACTTTTCGTCCCAGAGGAAAATCTTCGTCGGTGGATGCCGATGCGCCCGATGCTACTTGTGTCGAGTTGCGATCCTCGTTGCGCTTATGCGCCGCCACAGCTGTCTGATTGCGTGTCGGTGTGTTGTATGTGTGTCCGCACTATGGCAGGTGTGAGATGGGAGGATTGGCTGTGTACCCCAATGAACCCTCGCCATGGTATGAGTTTGAGCTGCTCAAGAAGGGCCCAGGCGAGGGCGGTGGTCCGACCCTCTTCCTCCATTATAAGGTGATTTGGTATCGAGGATGCTCCGTCCCTCCGCGGCTGACCATTTCGTTGTGGTGTCGGGTGGTTGTTTCCGGCACCGCGGCACGAGGTCCATGTGTAAAGCAAGAAAATTTGGGGCAAGTTGTCGTTACCAGGCCCGGTGCCGATACAATACAACTACCAATTAGCGCTTCCTTGGCGCACAGGGAAATTCAGTGTGGTGCCTAACAGCAACAGTTGCCCAACCATATGTCCTCGGTCGATAGCAAGGTCGGGTAGAGCGCTTACTGTTACAGTGCAATAATGCCATACAGCGCGGTCCATGCAAGGGGAAACCCGTCATCACCCGGACGAGGGACTTAACACGCCAGCAAGACGGCATCAGGCGGTACGTGTGGTACGTAGGAAATGAACAAACACAGTCTAAATGGTGATGGTGGTGTATCGTGAGGTGGTTCAGTCGTGGTCAATGGGAATACGGCCCACAAAAAAGTGAGCATACCCTTCCCATGACTACATCTCTCGACATGCGCGCAAGGGAAAGAAGATGTAAGGCTTTTTCGCAACCATCAGTCGCACAGGGAGTCGACAAGAGCGTTCAGAAACCAATCGTGTTTGGTGATTCTCATTCACCGCCCGGCGATGCTCGCTTGTAGCCATGATTGCCTGCACGCGTGCCGGGTGACCAATATCCTGACTTTGCCCGCCCCGGTGTTTGCATGAATTAATTGTGCTGTCGAAGTAATCCGCTGCCGCCTGAGTACTACGACCAAGCATTCAACGAGGGCAGATCCTTTCAGGCCTGTGTTCTCGCTCCTCATGCCCCACCTGTCGGGCACGGATGTGCGAACCACCCAAATGCTTCAGGGCAGCAACAAGCATGTCATTCCGGGCATGTCGTGGAAAGGCCATCCGGAAGGCTGCAACCAGGGAGGACGGAGACACAGAAATTTCTTCGAAGACGACCCTCCGTGCATCTCGGGGCCGGCCTCGACTCGGGAGCAGCTGACGGGGTGCCTGTGGAAAACGTCTTCACGATGCATGGGGTTCGTCCCGACCGAGTCCAGGCGGTGAGATATGTCTAACGCATTTGAACACCTGGAGATGGCCCTGGCTACGTTGACAATCAAAGCTCACCAACCCCCCAAGTCTGTTCAATATGTTTTATTCCGTGCCACCCGCGGAGTTGGCACTCTTTCTTGAGTTATCGCGGGCTTGGGGCGGGTTTCTTTGTTCATGAGAATTATCGGTAAGACTCGTGGATTTTGCCACGATCGTGGTAGGGCAGCTACCAACCTTTGCTGTAGTTGTTGCATGTATCCTGTTCTTGCTTGCGTGTAGAATCACTGGCCTTGACCATGGATGTGCCGGATTTTTCCATACAACCAGCGTCCCAGGAATCATTTGTGGTCGAACCGTGATGCTGTCCGTACTACTTCGCTTCAGAACGGCCGTGATGCTCCGTGACCCTCGGGACGTTGTCCTCTCGGAGTTTAGAATGCGGCGAGACTATTACCACCAGGAGAAAGTCATGGCTGTCTCCGTGGACGACTTCATCTGGGACCGATTTCAGGTGAGATTGCGCCAGCCCGTCGGCACGTCGTGGCATGCTTCCGTTGGGCACAACGGAGGCCGATGAGTTTCCCTTAGCACGTATCAGCTTGATGTTGCGAGGTTGCGGCTCACATTGTGTGGTTTTGTCACGACGGACTGTTTCTCCCGTTGGGCGTTAGAGGTGGCCGAGGTTCCCGGTTCAACGACCAGCGTGTGCACTCCTTCTTTTCTTATTTCTCAGGAGGTTCTCGATTCACTGTTCAAACATCGTAGTATGTAGTCCACTGACCTATCCAAGCCGAAACTTCCGCAGCGACGGGCGCTTGAAGCCAAACGCCGGACCGTCTGCAGACCCCCCACAGTTCTGTGCATTGACGGCCAAGAAGGCATAAATGAATAAGGGCATAGGCCCAGAAACCGTGATCTCATCCACCTCAAACCCTGCCACATCAACCCAAAGAGCCCCCCATCGCGTCGACTACGCGATCAATCTCCCGGCGACTTACATCGTGCGCATTCCTTCCCTCTTTTGCTGTGGTTGTTTCCATTCCTCGTGAAGACCATCGTTTCTTGGACGCATCAGCGGTGGGTATGGCACACGGAAACAGTCCTGAGCGAATCATCTCACGTTATGTTTTACGATGATCTCCAGGTAAGGTAGTTGCTTTTTCAGCATTCCCGCCTGGCTACCCTACTCCTTGGATCTCAAGTATATCGAGTCACTTCACAACGTGATGGATGCCTCTGCACGGTAATCAAGTTAACATATACCACTTGTACTCTCTCTCTCTCTCCTAATGCTGACCAAGTGAGACTGTTGGCGAGCGCAGTCTCGCCTCTCTCAGAAGAGGTCTGGCTTCCTCGGAGTCGCCGTTGTTCGTCCAACCGTAAGCGTCGTAGACGAGCCTCGTCCAGTTCTCCCCGGTCCGCGAAACGTTGCTGTAGCTTAGATATTTTCGGCATGCTGCTGTATCTCTAACCTCTCTGCTCCCGTTCGCGGTGCCGGTCTCTTACTCTACACTCATTCATCGCTCCAGGCCAGCCCCATGGGCATGATCGACCTCGCCGCGTTCATGGGTCTGGAGTGTTCCGAAGACCAGGCCCGTAAAGTGTGGGAGTCTCACCAGAATGCCGTGCCTCACGGCGACTACACCACTCACGGGCTCCAACTGGGCACTATCGAATGGATGAACGCCACCATGGCTAGTCTGCTCCCCACGGCAGTGTCGCTTCACTGGGGACTTAACCCGACCGACACCTGATACTGCCGTTCTTCATGCAAACCTTCGCTTCGGCAACAGCAGGCGTGAGGAAGGAAAAAACAAATGCATCGACACACAGACACACAGATAAAGGGCTGGTGCGAGCAACTGGCTGCAACGAGAACGTCAACGCTTCGTGGTGGTAGCGTACATGGCGTACTCTCTTGCCGAGGACGCCTTGAGAAGAGCATGGCGTTTTTGCTAGAAATTTTGATATTGTTGTTGGTCTGGGTCGTTTTTGAGTACGCGTGTACCTGACACTTTGGGTAGGCTTGTGGTCACGGACAGTAATTTTGCTTGTAAGTAGTGGGAGCGAGGCGAACGAGCAGGTGCCGGGTAGAGGTCTCAATGGTTTCGTACGAAGGCAACATTAGAGCAACGACAACAATAACATCAACACCAACGGCCCTGCTTGGTTGAAGACGTGGAAAGTACAAAGGTATTTGTTGTGCGATGTGTGGAACCACTGTTATTGCTCTTCTGCCTGTCAGAAAGGCATGGGGTCTCTCAAACGCCTCCAGGTTTGGCTGCTTTGAGCTATTCTCTCAGTCTGTTAGGTGTACCCAACACACTGTAGATACAGATTCGGAGATCTAGGTTTCGTGTATCATCTTCGTACATGCATTTGTAGAAGGGTGATTCCCCTTCTTCCTTGCATGGGCAAGCATGGCCTGTGCACTCGTTAACATGTTAATATCGAGGTCCCCAGTCTAGCTTTACTCCGCAACCTCTGACGGAAAGCACCCGCTACCCAACAATTTTGGGAGACGGGTCTGAGGCCTGTACTTGATATATTTGATGTTTGAATATTCTACGGATTTCGGAGGATCGAGTTCTATTGGGAATCAAAGATTTCTGAAGACATCGTTATATAGGGAGATTTGTTCCGAATTGGAACGATAGACGATCTAGATTTGGGATTGAGTTATCACGACCAAGGTTGGGCGATCCTACGAAGAAAATATTTATTTTTTGGATCGTACTATCTAGCACCGAGTGGAGGGGCTGTTGAGTGTACTCGACACTAGATTGTACAGATCATCTGCAGAGATACAGAGAGAGAGGTAGTGTTTGTAGAATTGAGACGGATAGAAAGACCACGGTTTTGGGGGGATCCCTTGGCTAGATGTATGTGTGTGTGGGATTTGTGAAGATCTCGACAAAGATCATCAGGATCCTGGCTGTCTGCCCTTAAAAAAAGCCAGGATGCAATGGCAAGGAGGGAACCAAACACGAACATACCTGATCGTAGTTGCTCTCTACAACTTGTATTTGTACAGAGTTCGAGGGGCGCTCTTGAACAGCGATAGTGTGAACCTCGAAACGGTGACTCGTGGACGTGGAGAAGGTCTCCAGTATAGGTGGGTCTGTTTTAGGATCTTTTCTTGACTAATCGAGCTCGGAGAAGCACTCGTGGGTTATGAGCGACTACCTCGCTGGGGGAGGCCCTGCAGACTATAGCCGAACACACGCGGGTTGGAAACATGAAACCCCCCTGCAACAGCGTAGCTACATACAGCATAGCTGGCCGTCACGGAAGTCGTGATACCCCTTTCATGTGGGCAAGCAAGCATGGCCGAGGCATTCGGTAATATCATATCAATCAAGGTCCTGAGTCAAACTTTTCTCTGCCAACCTCTGACGGCAAGCACCCGCTACCCAACACACAGTCTGACACATACGTTACATCAATCGCTTCCTCTGGCCAGTACGTCCCAATCGGGTGTGTGTACCTGACCTACGCTTGACCACAGCTTATACGCCTTACGTCAAAAACAGCTCCGTGGAGTACCTTGGCTTCATGGATGGGTACGTGTACGCAGCGGGCGAACGGTTGTACTTCTGTTTATGTAGATAGTATAGATAGGCGCGTATGTTCGTTGGTCTCGGAGAGCTACGTGTGGCCACTCCACAGCAGCAGTGCGCAGTGTACAATATGGCAGGAATTTGCACTTTCATAAGTAGTAGCATGATTTAATTATTTTGGGGATTTGTTGCATCCATAGACTACCGACCGCAGCAACACTGATATCCTCCTACCCTCCTACTTACTCTGTATGACTACAATTGTACAGTATTACGGTATAGTCCTACATACTATACGTAGTTTGTTTGGTGTTTGTTTGTGGACCGAAGCGTCTGTCTGTCTTTAGATTCTCAGGTGGTTTCGGTTATTGTAATACCGTATACATGTAGCGCAACCCACAACCCTGTGCCCGAACGCCAGCGGCGCCATATCTACGGGCCAAAGCATTTTCTAGCGGGCCAGACAGCCAGTGTTGTAATGAGCACCGATGACCGTGTTGTGGGCAAGGCTGTGCCTCTCGATGTTACTCGAGATGGTTGGCACCGCGAGCGGTTGAAGAGCAGAAGAGTAGGAGTACTTCTTGTGCTGTGTAGAGACGCGTGAAGATATGTTGAACACTGGCGCTTACATAGTTGGCCAACACACGCAAATAGATCCACAGAGAACGTAGAAGTCCAGACGACAGCAGTTCCTAGAGATGACCAGGAAGGCTAAGAGCCATGACTATCCAGAGAAGTCCATGCGAGAGATTCATGCGAGAGTGAGCGACACGTGATCCCTCGAGCAGAGAATGCTACAGCAGTAATTCCTCCGCACACAGATGCTGTATCTACGATGCATGATGATCTACGATAGAGAGCAATGCTACTGAACAAGACTTGAGGCCAATATTTATATTTCCATAACAGGCCGAAAGCAACATAGGCTCTCCTGTGTCGCATCTGGTAATAAGGACTAGTCTATAGTCTAAGTAATTTGGAACGTCGAGGTCGATGTAGTAGACTTAGTTGTCGTCAGACGACGTGTTCTTCCCCTGACCTCTCGCCCAAAACATGCATGGGTATGTTGATAACCTCGGTCTCCAGTAGTGCCGATCCTCAACGCGCACATCCGGACATACGTATCTGCGTAGACTATGCATGTATGCATACAATATCCATGCATGCGGAGAAAGGAGAAAGTGTCTCCACACTCCACAGAAAAGAGCGCTGGATCCTACAGTTTCATGTGTACATATTTAGCTCATGTGCCCGCCTCCAGAACCATTTGCTAGAAAAACTATTCCAGTTTTCCGGTGTTTTGGCCGAAGCCCACACGTTATCGTATAGGATAAGCACTCACACATCAGGAAGTTTAGTGAGCTACACCGCTGTTGCTGTCTCTTTGAGCGCACCCTAACCCCAGCTGGCCTGAAGCACGTTCGCGCGGTTGTGATCATCGCGGGGGTCGCCCAAACAGCACTCTCATCGACTGGAAAAGGTGAGAGGTAAAACGTATGTATGCATACATTTATGGTCTCGCCCAAGTGTTCGCCCCCAGCGCACGAGCGTGCAGTGGCGTCGTCTTCTCATATGTACATCACCGCCACGACTCTCGCAAATCGACCACTTCTCATAAGCCTGTATCCAGCGCGGCCGACAGCAGTTTTGAACGATGGGACAGCAGCGGCTGTTTCTGGTAACCACCGAAGAATAGTTGTCGCCGCGGACCAACAGCAGAGAGCGAAACACCCGTACTCTTGTGTCGTGGCCTGTTTTTTGCCGCTCCAGCGGTCGTATCTGCAGAGGGAGAGGAAAGAAAGGTGTATCCTGGTGTCCTTGTATGGACTACATACCCTCTTGCTCGCGGCTTTCGTGTGCGCATACCAGCAGTCATATTCGCGTTTGCATGTGGGTTCACGCCGCCGACCATTACGTACAGCAAATTTCAGAAAACAACCGTCATCGCTGCTGCTGTTCGCTGCAAACGATTTTTCGGTCGCGACGCCTCGCCTTGATTTGGTAATTAACGAACGGCACAGCCCACTTATTGTCCCCGGGACGGTGTGACAGACGCAGGCACAGGTTATCGCTGATGCTCTATTGCTCTACAGCACGCGCCGTCGGCAGATTTTGGAGTCCTGCACATGCCGCACGCTTGCGCGAAGCGCACACGCACACCCGTGCCTGTCGCTTCCCAACCTATGGTTGTAAGAAATCAGGAGAAGTTCCAAGTTCGGCTTTTTTTTTTTTTTGCTTGCTGTCACACCCATCTGGGAGCTGACCGCTGCTTGTGACTTTTGCCCCCAAGATACCTTACTTGTACAATACAGAAGTACCGCTATCGTGCCGTCTTGCCTCTCAAACTCACGAGCTCCGATCGAGGTTCGCTGAGAAGAATTCGTCTAGGTGGCTGCACCCATCGATAAGGCCTTTGAAAATGCCAGGTGGTACAGCAGCAGGTATGCAAACGTGCTTTCCACATACTGTACTCCGAAGTGCAGGATGTGCACATGAATACTCAGTTCGGAGTTGCAGTAGTTCTGGTTGCTGGCGGCGTGGCTGCGGCGGGTACTTGTGGTTTCTGAGACGGGACAAAGCCGAAAACACGCTTTATTAGTTGTGTGCGTATTTTCTGCCCGCACTTCGTTGGGAACTTGGCATTGAAGAAATGAACCCTCCAAAAACTCGAGAATCGAAGAAGTTGAGCACCTTGGGTGTTGTATCCCTACACCTACATAGCGGCCATTCGTAGCAAACCCTTAGCATTTGTAGGCACGTAAGAACCCCAAGCCTTGGCCCAAACTAGAGGTTCTTAACTACGTGCGCTAACTTATATCTCATGGCAGGGACAAACCATCTCCTCTTTTAAATCCGTATGCATACGTGTTTATGTTTAAGAAAACCATGAACCCGCTCGTAGCCGCCACATTCTGCTGCTGTATTGGTCCCGGATTTACTACGAAGTATACGAAGTCAGATCGGGCCCGCAGTTGAGAAAAAAAAAAAAGGCTCAATTTTTTCCGGGAAATAAAAAAAAGGCCTAAGACACACAGCTCAGTGTCAGCCACAACATTAGAAACGTCCCAATAAGAAACATGATCGTGCGATACCCCAATACAAAAGAAACAAGGGGTAGAACTGGGGGAACGTGCCCAAAGAAACGCCCCACTGCTGCTGCTGCTGCTGCCATGCTCCCACCCCCTACACCTAGCTCATGTCATTCAATTTTTTGGTTGGGGCAGAGAGTAGTCATTTTCGTGGCACCCAGCGCCCCAGTGTCGCGCGGGCTGCGCTACCCACTGCTGCTGTACTTCTACTGTACTGCCACAACCCCCAATGTTCGCCACACCGAGCTGTCCGTTGAACGCTGCGTGAAGGCTTTTGGTGTGTTGCTGTATTCTTCGCCAATCAGAAATAAGAAAAAATAAGAGAACGCTGATCATCAGCAGGATGCGACAGCCCAATGGAATGAGAAATCCGTTTCAAGAGATTTTGGCCTACTTCGGATGGTCCTTCTGCCCAGAATAAGAAATTGAGGCTCGACCCGATTTTGACGTTTCTTATCTCCGGGCCCTATCTGCAAGGCTGGATTCGCAGGCCTGCTTGCTGCATTGCGGCAGTGTGAGGCTATGTGTATCGCGCACTGGGTGTTGGCTGCACCTCAGACCCGATTGTTGATTTGTGCACACCGCATGATATGCTCGTATTGCACGCACAGGAGCTTCGCCTTTAGAAAATTCAGCCGTGACCTGCAGTGACACACAGGTAGAAGGGCGCATGGCTGCTGTATAGCAGGCTGTGTGTATCATGCAGTCGGTGTTGTGGCTGCACCGCAGACATCGATTGTCTTGTACATATGTGCACAGATTTTCTAAAAGAACGCTCCAATAAAAAGTGTAGAAAATCTTCATGCTATTTTCTAGTGAAACGACGGACGACGGCATTCCTACAAATACGTCGATTCGTAAGCGATGTCCTTTTCATGGCCTTATTCTGCACTGCTGTCGCGGCTGCAGCCCACCACCACCACGTCGCAAGTAGCTTTTAAGTCCGCATGGATCGATCGCGCTGAAGAGATTCAGGGAGAGGGGAATGAGGGTGTGCGGGGTGGTGGGGAATCAGCGCTGGAAGATAACAGCTTCGTGAGAGGAGAATACGGCTTGCTTCCCGAAATGAGAATTTTTGGCCACAACACCGTCCCGGGGGGGGGCACGCGGTCGGTGCGTTCCGCGGGATGCCCGGCACGGCCCCTAGTCTACGCGGGCCGGTGAAACCATACGATGCAACAACAGATGTAGTTGTTGTTTGGGTACAGCAGTACGGCTGTGTGCCAGTTTTCCCACCGTTGTGTCGCAGTCTGCGGTAGTTGCGAGGTGTCACACAAAACAGTGCTGTGGTCGTGCAGCCGCCGTCTGCTACATGAATTTCCGAGGTTACGTGCTACCGCACGTGGAACCAAGCGGTGGGGTGCACACACTGAGATCGCCGGGACTCTAGATTATGCGTCGCGCCTGGTTGCTGGAGATGGCTGACTGGTACTAGTCATGAAGGTGGGACGGAGCCCTCTGTTTCCATGATGAAGGGGGCTCCGTAATTCACAGACGCGCTAACGTGCCTTGCGGCGGGGGGGGGGGGGGGGGGTGTACTCATAGTCGTGCATGCCGTAGTCGTTAGACCATTGACCTCGCATCCCTACAAAGCCCGGACGGAGCTCGCCGGGTTCTCACCGGACCAGGCTCTCACATCACCAAGCGCGAAGCGCCGTGAGGTATTTGGCGAGTCGCATGAAGGGTGAGCTGCATCCTGCTAAGGGTGTTCGGCATCTTGTGCTTACTTCCTTGCGTACGGATGACAGCTACGTATGACTTAGTTTATTTTCTGGTGCTTTCACTTCCAGAGACAGTTGTAAGCACTGTGTAACTGCCTCGAGGATGCTTGACCATTTTAACACAACGTGGTGCGATCATCCCCCGTTGCGCGGAGTGAGGTTTCTCCACCCCGCACAACATGATGTACTCGACCACCATTATGGTTACCGCCAAAAAAAAAACGAGGTAAAAAAAAAAACGGTAACCTGGTTGCCGAGTTCACGAAGTGAATTGGCTTGTTTCACAACGTCGTTGCCAAGCGACGAAAACCCAATCCCGATGGCAAACACCGAGCGGGGGGCTTTTTTTACAACGTCGTTGCCAAGCGACGAAAACCCAACCCCGATGGCAAACACCGGGGGGGGCGGCATGTTTTACAACGTCGTTGCCAAGCGACGAAAACCCAACCCCGATGGCAAACATCGGAGGGGGATGATTCATGAGAATTGGAGGCCTGCTGGGGGGGGGGGGGGGGG